GAGATGGCGGCCAAGGCGTGAGCTGCTGTGCTGGGTGAGGTCGCTGTGTGAGGGTGACGGCGTCATGTCCTTGTTATTCGCCGCAGTGGAGCTGTGTGAGGTGTCATGGCCTGCTCTCTGGGGTAGCCCCGTGGCATGAGGCCCCTGTCCCCACCGTGCCCGCCCGTGGCTCTGGGTGAGGGCGCTTCGGCTGTGAGGGGCTGCCCGTGTCAGGTCGGGGAGGCCTCCAGCAGTGCTTACACCAGGGGCCACAGTCGTCTGGGTAACCTAAATAACCTCAGCACTTGTGTTAAACCAGCAAATTCAAAGCCAGGTGTTGCCGTGGGCAATTGACAGGATTTTGCAGTCCAGTTCAGTATTTCTTTGGTACAATCAGCTATGGTTCTGTGAGAAATAACACTGCTGAATTATGTACAAGTTCATTGCTCCAGATCCTTTCCCCTCACGTCAATTGTATGCAGAAATCACCTCGAAATTGCCCCCAAAACACAAGGGTTTGAGCTCAGATCACAAGACTTCAGTGCTAAATCTACCCTGCAAGATGATACAGAAAGAAAAAGAGAATGTCTCTGGTATTGAAAGGACAGCGGTACCAGGTTAGGAAAGATAAATTATGGACAGAAATTCTGTGGTAGCTGAAGGAATCAAGAAGACGTTCCAGCAGATGGCAGGAAAAACCTGAAGGAGAGAAGGAAATGCTTCAAACACTCTGCTGAAGAGTTGTCAATGAAGCTGTCCCACATGGGTCATCTTGGACTCTCTTGGTTTTGGGTTTTCTCATGAAAAACACATGCCTGGCTCAGGCACGCTGGGCTAACTTGTTCTGGATGCATCCGCCTGCGTGGTGCTTGTGCAAAGGTGTGTCAGGAGGAAGGAGTAATGCCAGGAGCTGGGGAGGAGCGTGTGGGTGCTGAGGGCCTGAGCGGGCTCCTCTGTACTGCTGTTCATCCACATGGTGCTGGGGAAACACCTTGTGCCCCATCTTGGCATGGGTGCAAATCTGAGGACAGGCATTGTAACATTGTGGTTTTCATATTTTCCCCTCTCTCTGGCTGCTAATTGCCAGTGTGATCCAGACTAATCACAGAGCATCACCAAGTCCCCCTACTCTCCATCTAACTGAGGTCTGCAAATCCAGAGACACCTTCCTGCTCACAAATCTCAAGCCCACCCCACAGGACTGTTCGGGCCCTTTACCAGTCTGGATTTTAAATGTGAACTGGAATGAAACACTTCTGGCTCCTGTTCCACATCAAGTCAAGGTACTGGTGGCAGAGCACGCTGCTACACCAAGAATGTCCTTTGTTAAAAACAGAGATATGCTTACAAATAGTATTTCATGGACATGTAGCATCCAGTCACTTTAAAAGACAAATATATTTTATCTTTTATTTAAGGGAAAACAAAGGAGATGTACTCTTAAACCTCTAATGAGCACCTGCTGGCTCTGGGCACCTGTCAAGACAGCACATCTTCCCTCTGGACTGCAGATAATGGTGACAACAGATAAATAATCCTCCCTGTTGTATGAGCAGGTTTCAGGGTATTGTGGTTTTATTCTTTGCAGTTCCTTGTCCCTATTGATTTGCACTATTAGATTCAGTATCTCTCTATGAAGACCTACTTCAGCTAATGCCCATGTCTTCCTGTTGGTATTCCTGTGTGAAGATCCCTTCTGTTTCTGAAGCCTCTTAAAATGATTAATTTTGACTTGACAGATGCATAAGTAATTCTTCCTTTGGCCTTTCACATTGATTTTCTGTGTTTTCATTAAGGTTAATGCTCCTCAGATGAAATCAGCTCTATTATCATTCTATTAATTTGATTTTAGCCTAGTAGCATTTCCATCAGATTTTGATCACTGCAGAATCCATAACTATCACAAAGCTCCTGTAATAAAATTGGATTCAGGGAAAAAAAGCCCATAAATTCTACTGTTGCAAGGAACCAATTAAAAGACCATAAGAGATTGCATCTGCTGGGAGTGCTTGTAATTGATGAAGGTGGTTGCAACCAAGGTGATGAATACCTCTTCACAACAGATTTCAGTCAGCTCTTATATTACCTGAAATTATGGATGAAGCTGTGTGAGAACATGAGCTATAGCTAACAGAAAACAAGAATCCAGAGTCTACAAGAGATAATTAGAACAACAGCGACAACCAGCAAAATGAAAGCAACTCCTCACTTTAATTACAAGGGCTAAAAAGGGATTATTTCTCTTGGTATTGGTAGCTGAGAATTCACTGACAGCATGACATGAAAAATACTCTGAAGGAATATTTTCTTTGACCCAAGAAATATCTGCAGGTATTTTTCTTGTGTCTGTTTTAAGAATATTCATCTGCTGAGAGTGAAACATAAATCTTACACTACTGAGGCCTTTGTTTTGAATTAATTAGCTCTAGAGAGGTTTCTATTCCAGTTTTGAAGCAAAATATTGAGTAAAATATTGAGTCACCAAACTTTTTATTTCTAATTCCACTATTGATCTGTTCAGTGTGTTTTCTCCTCTGTGATTTGGATCTTAATCCACAGGACAATTTGGAGAAGCATTTATTTATGGAAGTAGGTTGACAGGAGCATTTGTCATGTGCGAGTACAAAATACCTGCTATAACTGCACATTCAGTTGTGGCATCCAGCATCCCTGAGGCTTTCTCCTATAGAGTTGTTCCATTCTCCTTAGCTCAACATCACAAGATGACATAAATTATATGTATATTAATTCTACTGCACAAGCATCTCTGTCTCAAAGGTGGTACCATGTTTTTAATGTGGGTCTGAACATCAGAATACAGAAACATGCTGATTAGCCACGTGTGACCTGATTTTTACCTTCATTTGGAAGAAAAGCATTTCAGCCTCTGTACCTGAAAAACTGTTCTGCTCCTCATCAGCCATCGCTGACAGACAGCAGTAACGCTTGGACTCTACCATGGCTTGACTTTTCTGCCTTGAGAATGGTCTGCATCACCTTGTCTGAAGCTGAAGGCCCAGTGGACTTTTCCTCTTGTGCTAGAACAGCCCTCCACAAAACAGAACCCCTCTTTGAGGTGCACGAGTATGCCTTCTCCTCACCAGTCAAAGCACTGAGATGGGACCCAGCTCTGAAGAGGAGGACTTGGGAGTGGTGGTGAATGAGAAGCTGAACGTGAGCTGGCAATGTGCACTTGCAGCCCCATAGGCCAATAACTGTATCCTGGGCTGCATCAAGAGAAGCGTGTCCAGCAGGTCGAGGGAGGGGATTCTGCCCCTCTACTTCGCTCTCCTAAGGAACCACCTGGAGGACTGTGTCCAGTTCTGGGAATCCCAACACAAGAGAGACCTGGAGCAGCTAGAACAAGTCCAGAGGAGGCCACCAGGATGATCCCAGGGCTGGAGCACCACTCCTATGAGGACAGGCTGAGAGAGTTGGGGCTGTTCAGCCTGGAGAAGGCTCCGGGGAGATCTTATAGCGGCCTCCCAGTACCTGAAGGGGCTACAAGAAAGCTGGGGAGGGACATTTCCTTATGTCAGGCAGTTAGTGACAGAACAAGGGGAAATGGGTTTAAGCTGAAAGAGGGCAGGTTTAGATGAGATATTAGGAAGAAGTTCTTCACTGTGAGGGTGGTCAGACACTGGAACATGTTGCCCAAGGAAGTTGTGGATGCTCCTCCCTGGAAGTGTTTAAGGCCAGGCTGGATGAGGCTTTGAGCAACCTGGTCTAGTGGAAGGTGTCCCTGCTGATGGCAGGGGCGTTGGAACTGGATGATCTTTAAGGTCCCCTCCAACCCAAACCATTCTGTGATTCTATGATCTTCTCACAGACCCCATGAGTGCACTGGGGAGAGGACAAAAGCAGTGACAAAAATGGATGCTTCTTTTGGTTAATCTCTCTTAAAATTGGAATCCAGTGTTTCTGGAAGTGAAACCCCTCCCTGAAATAAGTCCACAGTAAAGGCCACAGACCAGTTGCTGTTGGCCATAGAGCAGTCTCCTATGTTTTACAGCCACGACACAGCTCGTAAGCCACATCATGGGAGGGTGAGCACATGGCTCCTTGGCACGTGCAGCACTCCAGTGAGGGTGTCAGGCGTGTGAGGAGACGTCTTTGAACACTGGGTCTTACCTCCCTGGTGCAGTGCTTGTGGGAAAGGGACTGTCCTTTTGTAGCTCAGCAGTGACAATGGCTTTCACCATTTCTGAGGTACATGGAAACCGAGAAACCCCAGCTTTTAGGACTAACGCCAGTGTTAATTGTAGTCAGATCTTAATTCATCCTGACATTTAAGACCTTTCAGAATATATTTGGACTGAATTGTATTATGCAATTATCTGCATAACAGGTATGCAAGTAGCTCTACTTTTTAAATGAAAAAAAAAATACTGTGTTGATGGAATTTGTTAAGTCCTGAACTCACCTTACTCTGTCCCACCTGCCTTTGGCCCTCACCTGATTTACTAAATCTGATGTTATTTCCCATAACTCCTGCAATGGGACACAGTAAATACTGTCATCGTAGCTGTCAGTTCTCTGTTCAGAAATTCCCACTTGAAGCCTGCCTGGTGAATAATTAATATTACAACGGTCTTTTACCCTGATTTACTATGCTCTGAGTAGAATTCATGTATCTTTTATTAAATAAACTTTTTTTTTTACGATTAGACCAATGCTGAAAAGGTAGTATTTTGATTATAATGTGCAATAGTAACAGTTTATGACAACAAGGTATTTGCAATCCTGTTTCAGCCTCCAAAGTAGTCACAGGCATAGATCATTTTATACTTGCAATAGATTTATTTTGAGATGTGAAAATCCATTATACTCTTCTCTTTAAATTAGGTTACATCCATCTCAGCTCTTTCTAGCACAATACTGTACAGGTTCAAACGAATTTATTATAATAAAGAAGAATCAACACAACACCTTAAAAATTAACAGTTCTATAAAACCAAGTGACTTAGGTACACCAGGAGCTACATGTATCAGACCTAAATGATCTGTTTGGAACCGTACCCACATCTGGCTAAAGCGAGAAGTTACATAAGCCATCAAAAATTTAACATCAGATTAGTATGGTCACAAGGGCAGCAATAAACCTGCCATCTGGAGAAAGAGCAGGGTTCATTTCAAATGCCTGATGAATACAGCACTACTCTATTTTGCTGGAAGCTTCTCAAACAGCTTTTTTAATGTATTAGTTTCCTGATATATAGTATATGAGAGATTAAGTATTTACAGGCTCACAGTACTTTAACTGATCGGCATATATCCCATCTCTCTTCGGACTTCAGTGACTCAGCCCCATTCTGCAGGCTAGCCGTGAGACCAGAGCACATCAGGGGAATGTTCCTTAAGGATTTCATAGCAGCAGACACACTGGGGGTTCTCTAACACATCCATATTGTTAACCTGTAAAAATTATTTTCCTACAGCAGATTAAAACAAGATTAGTGAGAACAGGGCAAGGTAGGAGTTTTTACCCTTTCCCCATTGAATTAATAAGAACAACCCTGAAAACCTCCTTTATGGGGTGTAGAAGTTGAGCATTATTCAAGCAGGAAGAAAAAAAATAATAAATGTGTTTGGCAGGTGAAATTCCAGAGGATGAGGAACCAGAGGTCATCAGTTAATGCAGTCCATAACGTGAATCTGCAGCGTGTCTAAATCAGGCAGAATTTCTTCACATTTGGGACATGAGTACATTGAGATGTTCCGCTGCTCTGGCCAGTCTTGACTACCAGTTCCTGCAAGCAGAGAAGATAAATGATTACCTCATATTTTACTTGATTCTTCCACTCTTTTTGTTGAGCGGTTGAAAGAGGATTGGTGGCTTGCTCCTAACAGCCAGAGAGTCACACCCTCTGCAGCTACCCAGTTGCCAGAACAGCCACAGGGAAGCTGGGGAGCTGCTTGCAGCCAAGCAAAGCTGTTTTATACTGAACACAGCAGAGCCTGGCCCCGTGAGCTGGAGAGGTTCCTTACAGTACCTCTTTGGACAAGGCGAGGCGAGTGTTCCCGATCTGGTACCCTGGCTCCGTGGCGACTCTGCATCTCCGCCAAAGAGTTTCTGCAGAAAATAAGTAAGTCAGGGGCTCTGAAAAAAGGTTAATCAAAAGGTATCTTCCCTTTTTCTCCAGAAAAGGTAAGAGGATTCAAAATAAATAAAAGGATTTCCAAGTAAATCATGCCAACTGGTCATGCATTTAGTTTACAACTGCTGCTCAGAAACAGGACCTGGAAATGCTGCTGCTTTGTGAGACAGTGCCAGGGTCCTGCTTTTTTTTCAGTGTCATACAACTGACAGCAGCAGGATTTGGGCAGCTACACACCTAGGGACCTGGGGCACGCTCCTCTGGAAAACTCCAAGGACTCTCAGCTATTCAGGGCAAACTGCAAATTTGATTAAAGGAGAAAAGCAAGTTATACCAGGAAAAGGGTTCAGTGTACAGTTAACATGAAATGCAGCTTGATTCTTCAAATTCTAGGCATTCTTCTTGTACCTCTGGCTTCCACAAGATGAGTGGAGGACACATGGTTAATATTTCTTTTTTCTCTTTTACAGCTGAGAGTGCTAAAATGGTGCAATTCCAGGGTATCACAGTCCTTACAACTACGGGTACTCACTTACCAGTACCACCTGGAGAAGCAGCAGATATCCCTGGCACATGTGCAGCAAGCTTAGCTGCAGATTCACCACTAAAATTGAGGCTAGAACCCAAAGAAACTAAAATGAATCAGCAGGGAGAATTCACCAAGTATGAATCATCCAAAGTGAAATCTTGCTAAGGCACCCAAGTAAGAACTAACACCTTACAGAGATTCTATTGCAAAATCCAAATGAGAAGTCAGCCAACTACTTTTTTTTTCCTCTTTTAAAATTCTATTTAACCATGAAATAAATGTCTGCAAAGTTGTTTGCCCTTCTACTGAGATGCTAACAAGACAACGTTGGTCAACTCCAGCACACAGGGTAATGAGACAGTCCAAAGGCAGCTCAGCCAAAGTCTGTTCTCACCGGCCAAGATCTTCAAGGTTCTGCTGCTCTTTTAGCAGGTATGCCAGCTGGACGGCCAACTGCTCCTTCTCCTCATGGATCTTCTCTCTCGCTGCCCTCTCAGCATGGAAATCAGAGCAATAAACCTCCATCTGATCAGAGAAATGGAATCATGCTGAGAATTTGTAACTCAGACCGAACCATAATCATATATTATATGCCAAAACAGCCAATCTGTATCATAGCCTGCATCTGCTTAACACATTCCCACAGCACCTACACGCCGTAAAGTGAAGACCTGCACTACTTGCAAAGTGAAGATGACTCGGTAGTTTCTGGATTCTTTGTAAGATACTTCAAGTGTCTTATCTGAGACAGTTTTATTGCCCTCTGCTCTACAGAAAAGAGGTACAGAGAAGCAGTGAGGAGGTGACCTGACTGATGACACAGACAAATCTGTGGCACAGACAGTGGAACCAAGCCAAGATGACAGTTCTGGGCCTTAAATGAGGCAGATCCTTTTTAGTTGCTGTTTACAAATACTGGTTTGAGTAAAATCATCCCTAAAACATAAGCAGTGATTCTTAAGACAGCAGTTTTAGATACACAAACACGTCTATTCCCAGTTTTTCTTGTTGTGACAGACTCCAGCATGCAGAGTTCCTCCTACAGAACCACAGGATATGGTGGTAAAGGCTCTGCAGGGATCTGCAAGGCAGACTCAGTAAGAATTTTGCTTTGGAATTGAGGAAGTGTATTCAGTATTCTAGAAGGAGCCATTAAATAGTTCCTTCTGGTTTCTGAACATTGGGTGGGGGAAACTAGCCCATTTCTGAAGAAGAGCAGATACCTGAGCACGGAGCACAGCCATGGTTTCAAGGTCCTCCTCTTGCTTAGCAATTATCTGCTTCATTTCATCTATCTGGAGCTGCTTGGCAGCAAGGGCTTGTTCTGCCAGCTCCACCTTTGCATTCAGTTGTTCGACCACAACTTTATCCACTCTGTCCAGCTGCAAGGAAGAACTCTGATTATGAGATGAACTCAGAACATGACACTGCTTAAAGTGAAAGTTTGCTGCTTACTCTTCCTGCCCTTGGAAAAGCTTCCAGTATTGATCATCAAAGGAACTTGGACTCAGACACCAGTGGTGATTGATATTTTAATTTAAAGATTAGTTTTGAGCTTTCAAACTTCACTGTATCAAGTTAAAAGAGAACTCCCTAACAGACACAGCAAAGGATGTTCTCCCATTTTCCAAAATTACACAGAAGAACCTGGCACTTCCATGGAGCCTCAGTTATGAGCAGGACCTCACTGTGTCAGCCATTCTACTTAAGATTACAAAAACATTTAGAGGTCTACCTTCCTGTATTTCCAAATCACGCTGCATGAACACCTATATGCCTTTGCATATCACTGATCTCTAAGGACTGGACTCCACTCTGCACTGCAGATTAGATCTTATCAAGAAAACACCATGAAAGTACTGGTGTATGGATTGAGTTTTCTATAACTGACAGTACAGGATCTGTGTTTATCAGAGCAGTGCTGCTATGTTGCATGCTATATTGTGTGGAAGGCATGACAGTTGTTTCCTGCCCTGGGTACATTCTCCCATCCCTTCCCGCTCCCCCCTTATTAATGATGATTTCTTCTTGTGATGAGTTTACCTCTTTTACTTTCATTTCCTCGATTGTTTTCCTTGCCTCAGAGAGTTCAGGAAGGAGTTTGTTGTACGTATCCTGCAAGCTACTATATTTTGCCCTGTTTATGACAAGGAAAGAGATGAAAGTTTCAAACACTTAAAAAAAATATCTGAAATCTAAATAATCTGACAGAAATTAGAAAAAAAACCCAACAAAACCCCCCAAACAACCACCACCAGCTCCTTGCAAATCAATCTGCATTTCTGATGAGAAAAAAAAATCATGGTCCATGTCTCAACATGTCTCTTCTCATGAGTTGTGTGCTGCTCTGTCCATGGACTGAGCCCCAACAAATGTCCTTACTGATTGTCTGCATTTCAGATTGAAGAATCCATCGCCCAATATTTTTAGATCAAGCTCAAAAATTATGTTCAAAGTGTAACATCTCTCTTAGGAAGATATCCAAGTCTTGACTCAGACTTCAAGTGAAGAATTCATCAGATAGAACCAGACACTGACTCCAGAGATAATAAGCAGCTTCTCCAGCAGCTGAAGACAGGTCCTTCAGGCAGTTCAGCCTCTCTGTACAGCCTGGACTGACATTTTCACACTCCTCACATGGATTGCACACGAAAGGGAGCAGGAAACCAGAGCAAACAGCGAGTCTCTACTTCATCTTCACTGCATACTTACCTCTTCTAGTTGCAAATGTATTGTATGGACCACAGACCTCTTCTTTAATGTCACTTTCCCATCACTGTCACCACCTGACTAGTGCCTACCCTCCCAGATGTGTCTGCATTTACCCCTGCTAGTCAGCGAGATGGCCACTGTCACTTTTCTGCTTCCTCTGCTTTTATATTATATCTGACCCTATTCCACCTTTGACTTTGTGACAAAAGACACATCAGATAGAATCATAGAATGGTTTGGATTGGAAGGGACCTTAAAGATCATCCAGTTCCAACCCCCCTGCCAGCAGCAGGGACACCTTCCACTAGACCAGGTTGCTCAAAGCCTCATCCAGCCTGGCCTTGAACACTTCCAGGGAGGAGCATCCACAACTTCCTTGGGCAACCTGTTCCAGTGTCTCACCACCCTCACAGTGAAGAACTTCCTAATATCTCATCTAAACCTCCCCTCTTTCAGCTTAAACCCATTTCCCCTTGTTTTGTCACTAACTGCCCTTATGAAAAGTCCTTCCCCAGCTTTCTTGTAGCCCCTTCAGGTACTGGGAGGCCGCTATAAGATCTCCCTGAAGCCTTCTCTTCTCCAGGCTGAACAGCCCCAACTCTCTCAGCCTGTCCTCATAGGAGAGGTGCTCCAGCCCTGGGATCATCCTGGTGGCCTCCTCTGGACTTGTTCTAGCTGCTCCAGGTCTCTCTTGTGATGATCTTACCCCTCAATTTTTCTTAAGTGAGAGGCTCACTAGACAAAAGGATACAGTTTGCACCTGAGTGAAGACTCCAGATTCAAAGTGACAGAAACGCTGAGGTGAATGCAGGTTTCTAGTTCAGACACTACAAACACATCGTGGTTTCAAAGGGTGCAGAACACAAAGCCAGTATCTCAGATTCAATTCCCCTTTGGCCAAGTTCCCTCGGATTTCCCTTCCTCACTGACAATACCTCCCCTGAAATACAAACCAAGGGATACTCACCTTTCTTCATGTGTCTTGGCTTGTTCCAGCTTGACCTCTGCCTGCATGCTCTCCACCTGAAGCTCCAGCTTCTTGACAGTGTATATTAGCTGCTGCTTCTCCTCCAATTCTGATGCAGCAGCTGAGCTTTTTCTTTCCAGTACTTGGCACCTGATAGAACAAGGAAAAAAGGCTGATGTCTCCTGTTCACCTTTTCCTGATGCATTTGCACACTAGGCATGTTACAAAAAGAATCTTTGTGTGGTTCACTTTCAAAGGCTTATTTTAATGAAGAACAAAGAAAGACAAAAATGAACGTATACACAACCATCAGAAAACAAAGCTACTGAAACCAACACTTACTTTTTTAATATTATGAATCTCAAAAAACTGCAATTTGACAGAAAACTAAGCCACTAAAGTCAGGCTCTTGTAACCACTTTTTATAATCTGTGTGATTGGTCTTCAAAAGCACAGACAGTTCATGTGAAGTGGGTCATAACTAGGTCCCTTAGCTTCTCTCCCTAAGACTAGAACAGGGATTGATTATGTGAAGCAGAAAACAGGAAAATTTGCTTTTACATCAGGAAGGGTTAAAAGCCAAATCTTAAAATTCAAGGCACTGGGGTTCTATTTGTAGAACTAGGTTGGCAGCTCAGATTTTCTGACCATTACTGTATTTCTGTACTTTCACCTCCACTTACAAAGAAGGAGGAATGTTTTACAGCATTTCTATGAAACAGGTATTTAAGTGGATCTTTGTAGAGCGTGAGTTTCCCAAGGTGGGAGCTGTCAAACAAATATCTACTGGGTGTCACAGCAGAACTTATGCTCTTCTGAACCTTACTTTTCTTGAAGCTTCTTCTGAATCAATTCTGCTTCTTTTAACTTCTCATGGGCTTCCTGAAGCTCTTTAAACAGAGCACAAACTTGCAAATTCAGGGTTTCTACTTCACTGCCAACCTTTTAAGAGAAAAAAAAAATAAGGAAAATTACATATGGACAATTCAAGATAGAAAAGTTGCAGGCTAATTAGGAGATCTAACCAGGAAGTATAATTCTTTCTCTAGAGAAAACAATTTAAGTCAGGATGAAGCACTGCACTCTGTACTCAATAGTAAGGCCCCATCCACAAGGCTTCACAATTACCAGTTATTCCTAAATACAGCAGAACCCCATTTTGACTTAACATTTTCATAAAATCCAAGTGACTCAAAGACAATACTTTGAGTGAGAAAATATTACAGATTTTCCAACATTAGCTAGAACACACCTCATGCAGATGGGAAACACATCTACATTGTCTTTCTCAGAATTCACAATTTAAAACACACATGACCAAAGCAGGCAGACTTAGTGAGTACTGCCACTCCTCTAAGAATTAGTTATAGTCTGACAAAGAAACTTAAACAAATGATCTATCCCTTAGGCTGGCTTCCAGTTTGCAAGCATCAGTGAGCTCTTTCAAAAGAGGTGTGACAGCAGCTGTACAACGGAAGCAGCAGTCTGGAAGTAGAGAAGGCAGACTAAAACCTTTATAGACTTTCTCCTCCCAGTTACATCCTGCACTGGTGTTACCCTGTCATTCTAGTTTCCTCCATTCTTGTTTTGGGCAGAAAGCAGAGAACACAGAACTGTTATTTATTTTGATTACACATGAAACCCCTCCAGCCAACTGGCACTCTCACTGCTTGTATCAGTCTCTCCCACACCGCACACATAAGTACCACAGGTCTGGAAGACTCCAGTTCTTGACTTTTTGAAAGAGAAAATACAACTCCAAATGGCAATTCCATCACCACACATTCATGAATCAACTTTGCAAACCAAGAAGATGGTTTCTAGTAAAACTGTAATCAGTTTTGTTATGAGTTTCTGGCCCTTTCATTTGGCCTTCAGACCACAGGAATATCACTGAGGGATCCTAAAGACAGGCAAAAAACAAGAGGAGGGAAGAAACCATAGTTGGGTTCTTCTCCAACCTGAGACACAAAGGACAGCTCTGAGTTTCAATTCTTAAAAGATATCCCCACACTGTAGAAGACATGAAACCTTTGACTCCTGCTGGTTTGTAGTCTCTGGAGGTACATCCCAGAGCTTTCCTAAAGAAACATCTGAATCTCATCATCACGCTAACATCAATTTAATTGTCCCTAGTACTGTCATTTTCATTGATAATGTCTTATCAAAAGCATGTAAAGTCTCCAGTCCAGCTTGGGAATGAGCTGGGTGGCTGTGGCTAAAATGACAGCAGGTGTATCAGGAGCATGCTGCTGTCCTACTTCCGTGAAGAAAAGCTACAGTTAGAAAAAAGGGGAAGTCCACTGCTTCACCGGGCAACTGAAGCAACAGAAGTTCATAGAATCATAGAATGGTTTGGGTTGGAAGGGACCTTAAAGATCATCCAGTTCCAACCCCCCTGCCATCAGCAGGGACACCTTCCACTAGATCAGGTTGCTTAAAGCCTCATCCAGCCTGGTCTTAAACACTTCCAGGGAGGAGCATCCACAACTTCCTTGGGCAACCTGTTCCAGTGTCTCACCACCCTCACAGTGAAGAACTTCTTCCTAATATCTCATCTAAACCTCCCCTCTTTCAGCTTAAACCCATTTCCCCTTGTCTTGTCATTAGTTGCCCTTATGAAAAGTCCCTCCCCAGCTTTCTTGTAGGTCCCTTCAGGTACTGGGAGGCCATTATAAGATCTCCCCGGAGCCTTCTCTTTTCCAGGCTGAACAGCCCCAACTCTTTCAGCCTGTCGACTGTGTTATCCATGATGACCTGTGAACACTTCCAGCTTTCACCTCAGAGCAGAAGTGTGGAACACAACTGGTGTGACTGAGAGGCAGACAGCACACAATTGTCTACTGACAGATGTTGCTGAGGACACCCTCCACAAGCTGCCCAAGCTAAGAGAATTCACCACTTGTACCAAGCGAAAGGGACTGGGTATAATGGTGTAAGCACTCACAAAGCACATTGCACTACGCCTTTTCTATCTCAGAAGCAAGAAGAGATCATTTTTCTCTGGAGACATTCAAGACCCGCCTGGACGCCTTCCTGTGTGATCTCATTTAGGTTCCTGCTCTGGCAGGGGGATTGGACTAGATGATCTTTCGAGGTCCCTTCCAATCCCTGACATTCTGTGGTTCTGTGTGTGTGATTCTACCATCATAGCTGCAAAACAAGCCCCACAAAATTATTTTATGCAGCAATCCAGCTAATCCAACCACACTCACAGATGAAAGCACTGATTCTTGTAAAGTGATGCCAGTTCAATTTGCAGAAAATTAGACATCAGTAGAAACTGTGTCAACAAATGAAAACATGTATCACTGGCAAGAGTAACTTCTAATACAGCTAGACTGTGAATTCTTGGTCCCTGGTGAAAGCCATCACAATTCAATATATTTTACTTAATTGGAACACAATCAATCCATGATTCTAGAAAGCAAGTCTGGCAGCCTCACTGAAAGAAAAGGCTAACCTGACTCAAAAAATCCCATCACACTGTACAGACAGTCTCTCCCCAACACTCATTTCTTAGCTGGCCAGGGAAAGGAGCAACACCTATATCGAAGCTTCCTAGATTGCTGCTTCTGGGAAGCTTGCAAGCTGCCTCCCAAGGAAGGCAGAACAGTAACTGCAGTGGTGCTTTGAGATGACTCATCTCAGGAGACCTGGCTGAGGTTAGCCTCCAGCTGCTGTTTGGCAGAGGATGTGCTCCAGCCTCTTCCAGCCACTCCTCGCTCTCCAAACAGAGCCAAAGCAGGTTTGAAAAACTCTTCCTTCTCTCCTAGGATGTCTTCAAATGCAGAGCCCTCAAATGGTCCACGCTGAACCCCCACATTGTTTCATACATGATCTACATTTTGCAATAGTGGGAGATTGTTGCCCTCTGAAGAAACCAAAGAGCACAGAAATGGAAATGACTGCCATCAGCATGTAACTACACTAACGTCAGTATCGCTGTGATAAGCCAGATGAGGAGCATCTGGCTTAAGCTGTAACTCAGGCAAAGTTGAGATAAAAGTACTGGGAAGAATTAACTGAGACATCATCTGCTTTCCTTAGAAAGGACATCTCTTGGCCTGACCACAAACTGGTCTTGTTTAGCTAAGCCAGCCCTGCCCTAAAATACTTGTCCCAGCCTTCAGAAGAGCACATGTCTCCAGCAGATCCCAGACAGCTAGCAGGTATTTGGTAGCCCCACACAGCACCTCAGATAACCCACACTGCCTCACATACAGGCGTTCTTTGCTGCCTGTATTATGCAGTTGCACTGAACCTGAATGGATCTCCACTGCTATGGGAGCTCACACGCTTACCTCACATAGAAACACCTACAATGATAGGCACATTAATTTAGGTGTCTGAATCAGGAGCTGAATCCCAACCCCAACATCCATTCAAATCCTTAGTTGAAAACAAAAGGACTGAGTTTGCCTGGAACAGTGTCTCCATCCAAGATGGTTTTGCCCCACCACCACTGTAATACATCTTACCAAAAACATGAAAAAAAACAAAACAACAAACCAGGTGCCACGAGCTCCACATTTAAAGTCTGTTTTACACTACACTGTCATTGGATTCTGATCCAAAAGATCACCTAGCCAGCACTGAGGCAATTAACCCAGTCTAGAAGACTTTCTGAAGCTAGAAATGACTGCAGCTCTCTCTGTTTAGTAGGCATGGCCAGGGCAATGAGGTATACCTGCAGTTATGCTATGCTTCCTTAATTCTTGACCACCAATCTCACCCATTTTTGGTGGCTGGTGTAATTTGGAGCCATCTCTAAGATATGGATTGGACAGCTCAAAATTCACTTCCATACCCTGTGCAGGATAATCTCCCCTTGCTCCCTGAGTGCAAGTGGAAAGTTGAGGTTGTTGGCCTCAACAAGTAAGCTGTATGTTGTTAAAATTCAGCTCAGGAGGACAGGTACTTACAGCCTCTGAACTCTCTTCTTCTTCCTGTTCAGTTTGTGTCCCACTCTCCAGGCAGTTGCTGGTTTCCTTCTCCAGCTTTGACAGTCTAGAAAACAGAAGGATCCAACAATAATGGATTTGGTCTACATTTAAAGTGAGATTGTGACTACTCAAAGATTTCATGCAAATGATGTACTCTCTTTTAACATCACAGCCACAAATGAGAGGCAGAGCTGAAAGCACAAACATGCAGGAAAGCCTGCACAATTATGGGAGCTCCTGAAGAACACAGGACACCCAGCATGTATGTTTAATTAAAATGGATGCGTAAGTCTGCAGGTATGGTGAAGGACAGTGACATTCAGTCCACAGTGATCAATCTTTGGTACAGGTCAAAACTGCTAACCCTCTGGAAATGCATCAGTCTTTTCCCTGAATCCAGTAATTAATGCTGCCTCTATTTTCCTTTAGTATTTTCAGAGGCTGAGATTTCTAAGAACCATTTGGCTATGGCTCATTACCTCTTCTAGGAAGACCACGTAGAAGCAATTACTATGACACTAACCTTTCATAACAGGTAATATCCAGGAAGTCTTACTCTGTCTCTGTAAAGTGGGGATTTGCAACAGCTCTTGCTTAGGCAGTTTTCCACACCTGACCAGTCATGCCCATTTCTAGCAATAACTGAACACAGACAGATCCTCACGCAGGTCTCGCTGAAAAAACTCTCTTAGACAAGTTTGTAATTCAACTTATTTTAGACATTTCTAAGGAGCTTTTCCAAGCTCACTCATTGCTAAAAGTAGCCTGCCAATATCACGAAGAGAACTGCTGTAATCCCTGTTCTATACATAGTGATTTGCTTAAGGCCCCAGATGCAAATGATTCACAAGTAACTATGGAGGAGTGAGTGGAGAGAACGTCCTCAACTAGTCATCATGTTCTGACATAACCTGGGGAAAAGTTCGAACACAAGAGGAAATGGGTAATTTGTCTTGATCTGTGGTGCCACAGGAAATAATAATAAAACATGGAAATTGTTTTGCCCACAGAAGAGAACCTGTGTTTAAAGATTATCACAAAAATAAGTTATTGCTACTGAGTGCTTGGGAAATCCATCCAGGTCACACTGATATTTCTGCTTGTCTCTGATCAGTCACAGACTTGGTAACTGCAGCAGCCCTGAAAGAGAACAGCTCCAAATGTTATAGTGCACCTACTTCATACCTCTCTTTGTGATCTTGAAGCTCCTTCTCAAGTTTTTCCCTCTTCTGAGTTTCATTTCTAAGGCAGCAGAGCAGCTGACTCACAGTTAGCTCCTCAGACTCCAAATTCTTCGATTCATCTGCAGTTTTGCTCCTGCTTCAAACCAAACCAGATGTAAACAACAACAGCTATGACTTTACAAGAGCACTCCCTTATCCCTAGTTCTGGGACCCAGTCTGAGAGGCCACTGTTTCACACAGTGCTGAAAAACAACCTCCTGAGCAAAGGGCTCGTTCTCAAGAATCAAGACCTGCCTACAAAGCCACTACCCACAGTCCCCAAGTGTGCAAATGCAGTCTTTGCTTTGTGCAATGCTCAGACAGTCCCTGTCAAGCTGGGGAAACAATTTTAGTAGTAAAGCAAGGAAAACAAAGGCAGTCAAGACAATACAAAACCCAGTGCATTTATTCTGACCTACTTTGCAGCCCCTTCTGCAAACTGGTGCTGTTTGTTCTCAATATAACTTCTTTTTTTTTTTTTTTCCAATGAAACATGCAACATTTCTTATCTGTCTCATTCCTTTCCAGGAAAAGGTGGCACGTTCCACTAAAAATTGTCATCAGAAATTGCTTTCCTTTTAGCAAAAAATCTCTTCAATACTTCACCTCCCTCATATTCTATAGCTCTTCTCAAAATCACATTATGCTACTGTAGAAGTTAACTAAAAACAGAACTATCTCAAAAGTAAGGTAAGTTAATTATCTGGTGATAAAATACTGTATTCCATTCCCTTCATTTTTATGTCCATCTAGACAGAAGGTCAAAAATCAGATCAGAAGCTCAGCTGTAAAACAGCATGTGTTTAAAACTCTGCTTTTGTAGTTCAGAACAGAAGGGAAAGCATAGTCCTCTATGTGCTCCTCAGAGCTAGAAATCTTTGGTGAGCAAAATTCAATACCCCAAAGACAGTGTTCAGCCAGGATATTTTAAGTAAATAACTTCTATCAGGGGATTTTTAGTGCACCGTTCTACTCTTACAGAAATAAACCCATCCTGAGTGGATCACATTTCTCTGAACCTGTTAACAGCACCAGTGTAAAGTTTCCATGCTGGACAAAGACACATGATGACACAGGAAATATCTGAAGAGGTACATATACACCCTGTTCTTGTAGATATGGCCCAGATACTCATCAAAAGATAAGCAATGCCACAGAAAATGTCTTCTCATAATCAGAGTGTTCTCCCAAGCCACTGCTAACGACAAGCTGATACTTGCAACCCAGTCTGTGGTCAGCAGCTCCCTCTGTTTCACCCACAACTGTAACTTCCCCCCCCACCTCCTTCCACTTCTTAACTATATGCTGAGGGACAAGTTTTCTATATCATGACATTAAAATGCTGTTCTTCCTTGCAGTGATGTCTGGAGTGACAGTGTTTTAAGGGAAAACCGTACATGGAGCACAGCTTTCTGGTCTGCTATGCCCTTAGCATTTTCTATATCCTTTCCTTCCAAAAGCAAAGGCCACAAAGTAAATAAGAGAGTTCAGTCACAACCATCCAGCTGCTAAATTGGGCAGTATCCGAAATGGAAAGTTTAATAGTATCAGCTGTCTATGTCCATGAGGAGTAAAGGTTCAGCTAGGGGCAAGAAAGTCCCTTGTGCCCTGGAGCTGGTGTAAAGATCAAATTTTGAGAAGTAACCTAAATAGAATGCTGGTATCTTAAGCCTAGTAACCTGAAAAATAAGGACTATGTCATTGTGCTGTCTGTCTACCCCATCACGTGTGTGGCTGCTATAAAGTGCATCAAACAGAACAGACAGGGTTCAGATCTGAAAGGCTACAAGATCTCTGATTCTTACCAACATCATTATAACAGGTAGAGGACAGATACTCTACATTAGATGGTCTTCAATGACTAGAAGGGAGGGAGTCCCTGCAGCCTCTATCTTTATCTTTTCTGTTTGGCCTCCCTTAAAGCCTGAAAAGTTGCCAAGTCAACATGCACGTGATACCTGGCCAACTGGCCAGAATATGCTCTCCCTCTTGTCAGCTAGTGGAAATGGGAAGGAAAAATGCCAGAGAGCTGAAGGTCTTTCTGACATGGTAGGAAGGTAGAGCTACTGCAATGAAGGGATGCAAGGCCACAGAAAAACACAGTTTTCTAGAGCATTCCTCACAGAAAAACGCTCCCTCACACTGAAAACAAAACACGTTGCAGAAGTCTGAATCACACAAGAACCTACGTACATGTAGAAAGCAACGTTACTGGCCATTTCACCACTGTTCTCTTGATGTTCCTTTGCAGTTCTATTTATTTCTTCCTAGGAAAGAAAAAAACACTATTAGCTTGGTATTTGGACTAGGCAGGACACAGTTTTATTTGCTTGAGTTAAAGAAGGAAGAAAAAATGAAAACTACTATCATGGCAATAAAAATAAATAAAACAAAAAACTCCTACAGATCAGTTTCATGTTTGGAAATTCTTAAGTTAAATACTTCACATGCCTTTCCCTGTATCTCTTCCAGACAGATCAGAGAAGAGGAACAACAATGAGATTTGGCCTTCTCCTTTCATCAGCAACTTCCATGGCCACTCCCCCCCATAAAGATGACTGAGCACTACACAGCAACAGCCAACTGCAGGTGACTTTAAATGTGAGCCTAAAACCCACTCTCCTGTCTCCCAAAAGAACCACTCTTCTTTCCCACTGCAAAACTCACTCTTTGATCTCTGTAGCCCAAAGGAGAATCTTTGTAGCAAAAAAAAAAAGGAGAATGTATCCTTGAAGGCTTCCTGCAGTCTGAAGTGTTTTTTTTTTACAACTCCAAACAAGTTTTAATTAAATCCTCCCAATTTCTTGTTGCATTTTGTGGTGGTTTGGGTGGATTC